AAGGAACTGGTTCATGAATGATTTCCTTCCTGGGGTTTGTTTTTGTTTGCTTTGTTTTTTGAGGGTCCCCTCAGAACCTTGCCCTCAAGACAGATTCTGTTCTCTGGAAGTCAGACCACCAACAGCAACAACCTCCATTTGATTTGTTGTTGTTATCGTTGTTTGTGGTGCTAGAAGTGAAACCTAGGGTCTTGCACATGCTGGGCAGACTCTCTAACACTGAACAACACACCAAAGCCCCTCTAGCCACCCCTACTTGAATCCCAACACAATCCTTACTAACCAGATGACCTTAGACAAGTTATTTCAATTCTGTGCCTCAGTTTCCTCACCACTAAAATGGAGATAAAAGTATCTCTATTTACTATTTATTGTAAGGATCAGTTAAACTAATGCTTCAGAAGGGCAGTATGTGGCATAGAGTAAAGTGCTCCTAAAGGTGAGTTTATTAAATGCAATCATCTCCTCTGCCCAAACATACAAGAGAGAAACCACATTTTGCACCCTTATCATCACCTCAGGCTGGGCCTTTTCCCTTTTCTTTTTTAGTTTTTTTTTTTTTTTTTATTTTAAAGAGAGTAGTACATGAGAAACAAACAAGCAAAAAAAATACAACAGTAGCAGCATACCAGTATCACGAACATAAACAAATCAAAGCAAGAATATTCAAAGTGACCCAGGGTCTCAAGACAATACAAATCAGCAGTGGTTGTTACATTGCATATCGCTATCTTCAACTACATTGCTCAGATTATTCCCTTTTCTTGTTCCTTTTGAAATAGCAGCTAGGCTGGTCCCTCCCAATCAGAGCCCTGTGTGATATGCCCACCCTCCCTTCCCCTGGGTCCCCTTCTGGGCAACTCCAGATCTGCACCTGCCTCAGGCTCGCTTCCCATCAGGCCCTTGCCACACCTTCTTTACTTTCTGGTCTCCATCTTTGTCTGCGCTGGGTCTTGAAAAATGATACCCTAAGGATGGTGCTTGGGTCTGCTGCATGCTTTGCATTAAAGGACACTGGAAGGCTTCCACACCAAAGTCTCACTGACCTTCTCCTGCCCTCTTATCTCTTGCCCATCACGATCCTCCGAAGCGAGTCATATACCAGCTAGAACTCCTCTTCCCCAGGGCAGACCACAGAACTCAGAATCCCATTTCTGTGAAGTCAGCCATAAGACTAGGCGATTCTAACTTCCCTGCCCCATCTCCAGCCTTTCTGTCTTGAAGCTGGCCCCAAAGAAATTCTCTGCCCTACCCTTTTTGGGTAGTAGGTCATATGACTCTCATTCCAGATAACCCTGGCTCTACTTGGGAGGAAGAAATGCTACAGCCAAAGAGACCAGGAAGAATCTGACCCTCAGGCTTTCTGGGCTCCTCTCTCAGCTGTCACTGTTAACTCAGACCGACTCTGTCAACTGTATTCCTACGTGGTTATCCTGCTTCCACAACCTGAGCATCTAATGTACATTTTCCCCTTTGTCTGTGGAGAGCTCCTGTGTCACATAAAACTGTGATTATATAAACTTGTTAGACTTAGCTCTTGTTACCTTGGTTTTTTTGTTTTGTTTTTTGAGGCAGATCTTGCCACACTACCCAGGCTGGCCTTGCCCTTCTGGGCTCTGAGAACCTCCACCCTGAGCCTCCGGCTCAGTCTTGGGGAAACAAGGCCACATCACTGCACCAGGAACCCTACCCTGTCCTTTGTTATGGAGTTTTTGTTGTTTTGGCTGGTGATTAAACCCAGAATGTAGCTTCACACTGCGCTATATCTCCCTCCCCTTTTTCTTATTTCCTTACAGATGTTTTTTTTGGTCCACACTCATGATGGAGAGAAAAAGGCCTTCCTACACATATAGGTCTATGTCACAGAATCAGCTCCCAAAACTTCCTCCTGCCCAAGACTTTCTCCTTTTTGATCTGCTCTTCTCCTCCTCCCATATTCCCAGGGATACCTTTCCAAGGTTCCATCTGCCCTGCTCTCTTTTCCAACAGAGCTGAGGTGCAGGCACCTGCCCCCTCTAGATTTCTCCCTTTGAATTCCTCCCAAATTTCTGTCTTGTTTACTTTTCTTGTTGCTGAAACGAAATACCTTGATACCCAAAGTCAAAGGAGGAAAGGTTTATTTCAGTTCATAGTTAGTAGATGTTTCAGTCCATAGTCAATTGGCTCCAAGGCAGGGTGCACCACAGAGGGGTATCACAGAGGAGAAATAGTTCATGGTGTGGTGAGTAGCAGGCATCAGTAGCAAACTTCAAATAGCAAGCCTTCCTTTCCCTTTTTAATCCATCCAGAGTGGGCTTTCCCATTATCCACATTCGGCAGTATACTAATCTAATCAGTGGACTAACTTACTACCACACAATGTTAATCCCAGTATCATATGCCCTAGATCCAGCCAACTCTGAAAAACCCCACCTCTGACCACATGAGCCTTTAAGGGGACATCTAGCTACAAGCCTGTTTCTGAAGACTTCTTCCTATCTCCATTGAAATGCATGTCCTGAAACATTCTGAATAACTCCATCTGAACTGCATCATGTTCTCACCTTCCTAGGAGACATTTCCTTCACAGGCATCACCCCTGCCACTATACTCCCCTACTCAAGCTGCTTATTTTCTCCCTTGCCTGCTCGCTTTCTTGCCCACCAGCTCTCTCTGCTTTATTACCAGTGCAAACTGTCAGAATGCCCAGAAGTCAAAACAAATGGCCTTCCCTGCACCCACTCTCAATAAAACAATGGGCCCGCCAGTTGGCTGGTGTGTGTCATTTAATCCTTACAAGGCAGGTGAAGTCCTTATTCCAGAGGAAGGAAGTTCAAGGTAAAAGATGAGGGTAGTAGCAGCACTAGGACATTACTATCCTTATCCAACATTATTCTCTTTTTCTACTATCCTCTAAATTGAAGTGATAGCAACAGATGGGCCAGAGGAATCTAAGGTCTTCAGCATCAGGGAAATTAAAACATACATACATCAGGGAAATTAAACACATACATACTCTGTGCAGTGGAGGGAAGGGGTTGGTCCTAGGTATATCAAGAAGACTTGAATTATTGTGGGGTTCCCCAAAGTCCCGTTTAGGTAGTACACTCAAGAAAGTAGACATGCCTATATTGAGGGATCTCATGCAGGCACCAAGCAGAGCTCTTGAGGAGCGTTTCCCTGTGTTTCAGCCCTAAAGCTAAGCAGGGTCTGTGGTACGGCCTTACCTGAAAGCATAATTCTTAGTGTGACCCTTCCTTGCTGAAAGAAACACTATTCCCAAATAGACCAGACTTGCCCAAGCCATTTTTGGAAACGGGCTGTCAAAGCTCGGGCAAGGGTTCAACTATGGAAAACTCCAGCCCATTAGGATCTAGCACATGTGGGAATGATTAATGTGCAACTGCTGTGTGTCATCTGGGCCATCAGTGACCAGTTAAACCACAGCAAACACTGAAATAAGTACAGGAAAATCCTTAGACTCTTTCAGGCCAGCTCTACTTTTCCAGAAGAAATTGTGGTTACTTTTCCCCTTAAAATGCAGTGAGACTGGGTAGAGTGAACGCTGGGGGGAGGAATATTCTGACTCACGGTTATCACATCAAGGGGGCGGGGACGGGAGGAAGTCAGCTCAAGAGGACCAGCACCCGCAAGCCACAGGTTTTGCTGCACATAATAAGCCCCCAAGGGGCCTTTCTGTTTTGCACACGACAACAGAGATCAAAATAGCTAGTCAGTTTTTTCTTGGTCCAGCTCTCCAACGTGAAAACTGCACTCACCATTAGGACCAACTCTCTAGGAAGAAGTACAAAACAAAAACGAGAAAGAGCATCTCTCTCTCCAAAACGAAAGGCAAAACCTTTCTTCAACTCTAGACCAACTAAATAAAACCTTGGCAAGGGCCGTTACTAATCCATATAACTGGCTAGCAGCTACCTCAACTCATTCACCTAAAATTAGGAGGAAAAACAGCTCACTCGCAGGTTTTAAATGCCTGAGATAAAAGCAAGGGATTTGCTTCAGTCCTGCCAATGGTTTCCAAGAAAAGCCATAGGTGCCTCTTTAGAATTTACCTTTTCCTTACAAAGATGCATGGCCAGAGGCTGGGGCCAGTCTGTGCTATGACTGCTGGCAGTACAGGGCATGAGGGATGGTGCCCTTCCTGCTGCAGGTACCAGGCTCCTTGCAGACCCGCCCGCCCACACACACACACCCTACAGAAAGAAGCAAGGATGCAGGGTGGCGGGGGCACGAGGCACTTTCTCAATATCTTGTCCTACCCCTGCCAGCTAAGGCTGCCGCCTTTGTGGGGCGAACAGAAAGCCCTTTAGAATTTTGTCCCAAGTGCTTTTGAATTCAGAAGTGGACCCCCTTTGTGTAGCTGTTCAAATAGGGCACCAGGGCTCAGAGGTGCGCCTTCAAATTCAGGTTCCCCTGATAGTGGTGGTGATGGTAGGGATCCCCTGCTGCCTGGAATGTGGGGTAGTACCAGCTCCCAGCCGGGGGTCCTGAGACTTGGGGTCTACCGGGTCATCCAGGCTGGGAACTTGATGGGAGGCACTCTAACCCTAGCTTCGGTACTAAATTCTCCCCGCTGTGGGGTCCCATTTCCAGATGAAGCCACCAAGGCTGCAGGAAGGCGGGGAGCTCGCACACTCTGCTTTCCCCGGCCCAGGCCAGGGGTCCAATGCCGGGAGTTCCCAGGAGAGGCAGGAAACGCCGTGACCTGTCCGGGTGCCCAGGGCTGGGCGCTGGAGAGGTTCGAATCTGGCAGTTGCTCCTAGAGGCAAACGTTCCACAGCCAAACGCGAGAGCCCCGCCGGCTCAGGAAAGGACATGGGCGGTGACAGCTGCGAGGCTCGCTCGCCCTGGGGCCCGCTCCAGACGCTGCCTCTGGCCGCCAGCGCTGTTTTTAGAGCTCTCCTTGGCCCTAGCCAGTGAAACCCGAGGCGCAGTGAGAGGCGGCAGGACCGGATGCTCTGCGCCCCTCACCTGCGCGCCCCTCACCTGGTCGCCCTCACCTGAAGCCCCGCGGGCTGCCTCGGCCTCCATACTCCCCGTCGCTCTTCCTCGGGGCTCTCCTGGGGCTGCTCCCGCCCCTGCCACCTCCTCGGGCTCCAGCACCCAGACCTCTCTCTCGGGACTGCCTGCGCTCCTCCCCCAGCCACCATCCAATACTCTTCTTAACTAATCAACCCTGGTCCCCAAACGATTTGCAAACACCGTTCTTTCCACCCCCCCGCATTATTCGCCATCCCCAGGAGTATTTACTCCCCTTCATTTTGTTTTTATTTTGGGGAAAAGTGTTTGCGACTCCCCAAAACACTTGCACCGGGCCTGGGTGGGCCTGGACTGGCACCGCGTTACACCCACTGCCTGTGCCTCCCTCCCCACTGTTTCTATTTCTATTTTTATAGACAAAAATTGTTGAAATTAACCATTTTCAAAAATGTGCACAGCTGATCAATAGCTCTGAGACAATCAAGGGCACACACAACACACGACGTCCAGTAATTATTTTCTGCCCATTTCACCCTCTTTCCAGTTTTATTTCCCAGAAAACTGTAATGTGCCTGTTTCACTGATACCTAATCCTTTTATTTATTAAATGTTCAAACTGGTACTTGCTTGAAATAGCAACATTCAGTGCGGGCATTTTTTTCTCCAGTATACAGTACTTGGCCTGTTTCAAGGTGATATTTTTCTGGTAGTGCAGGAATGAATTTTTAAAATACAACTGGCAGCCCAGTGAGGTTGAACTCCTGTATTCTCAGCCACTGAGAAGGCTAAGGCAGGAGGATCACTTGAGTTCATGAGTTCAAGACCAGTCTGGACAACATAGCAAGACCCAGTGTTCTGTTTGTGAACAGAGGGGCTGTGGCCAGCGGTTCTCAAGTTGTTGCTTTTTTTAGGAGTGGCTCCTCAGGCCGACTGTGCCCTCAGCACCTGTGGGCCTCTGAACCTGGGGCAGATCTGGAACTTATTTACCTTCTCACCCCTTCACTCTACCTCACAGCAGCTCAAAGGAACCCTACAACTGTTCCCCACTCTGCGCCCCACCTTCTGAACAACCAATTGCTGAATCCTAGAACTTTCCCATGCATGCGATGAGACATGGCCCAGTTCTGCTCCCTATCGGTCACCCCTACTTGGATCCCCAAGCTGGGTGCTCCATCTTGAGCATCATAGGGGCACTTCTGGGAAACCTAAGATTCCACTTTGTTAAGTAAGGAAATCTCAGTGCTCCCTGGGCAGTAGAGCTGCAAACATTATGTCCTCATTCAATACACATTTGTCAGGCACCTAGTAGTTATCCCAGATTGGAGTTTTTAATTCAACCTGAAAATGTGCTTATGTATATGGCACAGGAAATGGATCCAACTACAGCTGCTCATTCCCACACCACAGAGAGGTACACGGTTTCCCCCAACTTGAATGCTGTCTGTAACCATAGCTCACTTCCCATATACATTATAGCATTTGTTTTTTTGACAGTTTTACTATTTCTACAGTAATACTACACAGTTTTACTTCCCATAGCTTTAGCATACTTTTGGATATCTCAGAAAACAGATCTTTCTCATTAAATATTAGAACCAGCTAGTTGAGGGTATTGGGACTGACTGAGAGTTCACTTAGACTTTAACATTGTTGTGGTTTAGATCTAGAATGTCCCCCCAAAGCCTCATGGGTTCAGAGGTGGGGCTTTGGAAGGTGATTGGATAGAAGAGGTGCTGGAGATGAAGGTAGGGTCTGGTATCTTCCTCCCAGGCTCCTCCTTTCTCTCTCTGTTTCCTAGCTGCCTGGGGTTGATCACTTTTTCCTCCTGCTATCCCTCTGCCATACTGTTTCTGCCTTGGAGCCAGCCAAGGTCAGACTGACACAGTGAGCTGAAAATCCTCTCTTCATTTAAATTGTGGGAGGCAGGTTTTGTGCCTCAAGCAGGAGAAATTGACTAAGATAAACATTAAGTTGCATTAATATCTTTAAGGTTTGAATCTCCCCATGGAAGTACACAGCCTACTTTGATTTACTCAGATCTTGTTTTTGTGTTTCTTTGTTGCTGAAGTTCTTGTTTGTGGCTCAAGTTCCATAGTTTCTTACGAATAGATCTCATACATTCCATACATGCAGATTTATTTCTTGATATTCCTGATAGTTGGTGGCTATGATAAATGAGCTCTTTTTTTTCATTAATTACAGTAGAATTTGTTGTTATTGATAAATAAAACTATTAGCTTAGGTTCATGCTGATCTCAGATCCAGCCACTTTCATGGCATCTAACATTTTTTTAAAGTTAGTTATCAGGAGAATGATAAACTACATGCTTACCATGCTCAGCATGTGAGAGGTCCTGGTTTAAATCCCCAGTGTGTGCCCACATGTGCTCACGCACATGCACACGAGCACACACACACACACACACTAGCACGCATGCGCAAAGGGTTAATTACTATAGATTTTCTAGGTAGACAATCCAGTTGTCTATAAGTTGTTAGATTTTTTAGCCTCCTTCAAATCTGCCTTGCTATTTAACACGCCTTATTGACACCCAAACTGCAAGAAAAATGCCCCATATCTACATCACAGACAATTGGAGCATGCATGATACAGTGTCCCTTCCATCCCAAGAAGACATTAAGCCCAATGCTGTACCCTTCATCCGGCCTCATTTATCTACATAGCAATTTCTTCAGTGTCAAGAGCACAACTGTCCTAGTCAACCTTAAGAGATCTTTGAAATTTGACAGAACAATCCAGTAGACAAACAATAGGGCTAGTAAGCCACTGGTAATGAGTAAACAAATTCCTGTTGCCACCAGTCTTATTTTTCAGTCAGGGAGATGTTGTTTTTGAAAAAAGCCAAAAAGATCAAGCAAAGCTTAGCAAAAAAATATCACAGGGAAAGATACAATAGAAGAAAAATATAGGCAAATCTTTCTCCTATATTATATTCTGATATGACTAAGAGGAATGCCAAGACTTTTAAAACAGTAATTTTCAAGCAATTAATTTGAAGTGTACAGGTGAAGTTATAAAATTCAGTATCTCTAGCTGAGCAAGGTAGTAGCACATATATGTAATCCAACCTACCAGGAGGCTGAGGCAGAAGGACCACTAGAGCCCAAAGTTTGGAGACCATCCTGGACAACACAGTGAGATTATTTTTCTCAAAAAAAAAAAGAAAAGAGATAAAAAGGAAAAGATTAAAAATATATATATATAGTTTTTGTCAGTTTCATTGGGACTGTTAAAAATAGTCCCAGTGCTCTATGCTCTAACATACATAAAACTAATTCTGAGGTTTTTTTTTGTTTTTTTTTTTTTTTAATTTTTTATTTTTTTGGTTTTTCTCCGGTACCGGGAACCGAACTCACGACCTTGCACTTGCCAGGCAGGCGCTTTTGCCGCTGAGCTAAATCCCCAGCCCCTTAATTCTGAGTTTTAAAACGGTTTTCAACAGTTGTTTCACAATGTTATAAAGTACTAAATTTTTAATTTTAATTAAGTTAATGCTATATGTAATTGAAAGATATGCTTTAGGAGGAAGATTAAAACCGTAAGGGCATCTTATGGAAGATTAAAACCATAAGTGCATCTGAAGTCTGATATATCCAATATCAGAGTGGAGCTCAGTGTCACTATCCCTTCTGGCCCTGGAGCCCAAGGTCACCTTGTACAAAGAGGCAATGACTCCATATTGAGGTGAGCGAAATGGGGACATTGCAATCATTTGTTCTTATCAAACAAGAAAAAAGTTAATAGATAACTGCTTCAGTTAGCTAATTCCTAGTAAAAATCGTCATCATATAATTCTGGAAACAAGAATGCTTGCCACATATTCAGAATGCTCTTCAGTGTGAATCTAACAAAAGAAGAAAGCAGTGGGTCTTTGGCAAAATTACCATTGCATGGTAATTTTACAGTAGTCCCTGCTTATTTGTGGAGGGTTCATCCGGCGGATGCCTGAGCGGAGGATAATACCAAGCTCTGTGTGAGCTCTGTTTTTTCCTATACATACAGACCTATAGGGGAGTTGAATTTATACATGAGACACAGTAAGAGATTCTCAATAATGACTAAATGATAAAATAGTACAATTATAATAGCACAGTGCAGTGAAATTGCCAGCGCTGATGTGGGAGGTACAGACAGCAAGGACAAGTAAGCAACAGAAAGCTGTGGGATAAGAATTGAGAAATCAGCCGAAGGACAACTCCATTAAAGTATGAGAAAACCCATAGAAACAGGCCACCCAGTCCCCTCCTCCAGACCCTCAAGCATGCACAAATCCAAAACTACATAGCTCTGGTCTGCGTCCAACCTCATTTGCATTGGAATTTTGACCCTCTCCCACCCACAGTGGATTTTGGATGTCATGACACTTCCTCTAAAAGCCTTGTATGATCAACAACTCCCCCTACTGGGCCAGAAATGTAGCTCAGTGGCACAGCACATGCCTGGCAAGTGCAAGGTCCTGAGTTCAATTCCTGGTACAAAAAAAAAAAAAAAAAAACCTCCCCATGCTGATGGGTGAGCTGAGTCAGGTACCCCGTTGGCCTGTGACTCCTAGCAATCTCCAGCTATAGAACCTCCCATATTTCCAGAACCTACAGAGACCCAGTACCTGCCACTATCAAGACTCTTCTCACTGGCATGATCTTTCCCCGCAGTGTCCTTATGCTTCTTGTGCTTTTAATAAACATAATTGTTGTTGTTGCTCTTTTTGAGCACATTGCTCAGTTCTTTGTTTGAGATACTCAGAACCTGGGAACAACTTCCTGGGAACCCAGATCCAACATCAGCACCCATTCCTTTCACACTTGGGGCCATTAGTAAGTAAAAGTTACTTGAACACAAGTACTATGGCACCAAGACAGTCCATCTGATAACCTAGATGGACACCATGTGATGAAGGGAGAGGTAGAGTATTCAGAGTGGACACACTGGACAGAGTGGTAATCTGTGTCCTGGGCAGGATGGAGCAGGACAGCTTGAGAGTCCATGGAACCGCTCAGGATGATGTGCAATTGAAAACACGATTTTCATACTGTAGGTGACTTAGAGTAACTCAAACCTAGGAAAGCAAACCTGTGGAGGAGAAACCACCCCGATGTATCTCCTCACTTCACTGAAAATTTTTATATACTTTAAGATCACTATATCAGCAGCCTTATCATGTGCTCTGTAAGGAAGACATTGGATTCTAGGGCAGAATTTTGCAGACTATAGCTTACAGCCCTACACCAGCCCACTGCCTATTTTTTTTATAGCACAAGAGCCAAAAATGGTTTATACACTTATCAATAGTTGAGAAAAATAAAAGAAGAATATTTTGTGATTTGTTGCTGTTATATGAAATTCATACTTCAGCATCCATAACCACTTATGAGAACACAGCCACACTCACTGATTTACATATCCTGTAGGCTCCTCACCTGCTACAACCACAGAATTGAGAGATTAGTTGCACCAGCGACCATATGGCCCACAAAGCCAAAATATTTATGATCTGGCCCTTGCAGAAACTACTGCTGGACCCACTGTGACAAAAAGCTGAAGAGGCAAAGGAAATGGGACAGTGACTCTCAAGTTCTGCTTTGGTACAGTGACTTTTTTGGAGAACCTGCGCTTTGACAAGAAGCAATTTGGCTATGAATTGTATGTTGACAGTAAAGATAAGTAGCTGATTCTGGAATCAGAGAAGTCTGACATGGAGGAGTGCTTATATTATCATTCTTTGTGCAACAAATGCTTCATGATGATTGATTTCTGTCCCCCACCTCCCAGAGGAATTTGACAAGTTTGATTAAATTCCATTTGATATAAAATGCATTGCTGTGCAAGAGCTGTTTGTGTCAGAGACAAAAAAAAAAAAAAAAAAAATACCAAGCCCTTTTAATTCTTTTTCTTGCTCAGGCAGGAAGTCACTACTTGCCAATAAGAAATTTAAAACAAATCCAAAGTTTTATGTTTGGTTCAAAACGTGAAACATTTGAGGTCTTGGGATCTTGCAGTCTTGGCAACCCACATTTGCTGTCCCTGGTGAGAACACATGGGGACAATTGCTTGCTTTCTGGTTCACTAAGAGGGTCGCACCTTGCCCTCTTAATCCCAGAGTCAAATATGATTACAGATATTTTCCTCTTGGGAATCTAACTTGTAAAGAAGATCACTGTGATTTCTGCTCCATAAAACGTCTCCCTTCAGTTGCCTCGTTCGTTCTCAGGCTTACTGTATTTCATCGTCCTAAAGATTGTTTTTTACGTCAGCAATTGTGAGGGACCATTTGTTTTTACAATGGAAAAAGGAAATAAAAGTGCACATGGCAGACCTGAAAATCCATACTTGTGAGTTATTTTCATTTTAGAGAAAATGTGGTTGTCTTTTTTTTTTTTTCACATAAGTATGACTATAACAGTAGGCATGAATTGTGACTAAGTAAAAATATACAAACTTTATATTTCCTGGGGCTTTATTCATTATGAAATTAAGGCAACTTTTAAAGCAAAATTTAAAATGAATTATGGGAAAGTGAAAACTCTAGGACCCACTCTAGTTTCGGTCAAAATAAGAATGGTTCATGTTAAATAAAAAAATAACCTAATAGATGGGCTAAGTAGTACACACCTGTAGTCCCAAGTACTTGGGAGACTGAGGCAGGTTTACTAGAGCCCAATAGTTCAAGGCTAGCCTGGACACCATAGGAAGATGCTATCTGAAAAGATTCTTTAATAATAATAATATTAATAATATTAATAATAATATTAATAATTATCAATAATATTATTAATAATATTATTAATAATATTATTAATAATATTAATAATCAGAAAAGTAATATTGTTCAAAACTGGAAGCCTTAGCAATTAAGGATCCTGCTTTCTCTAAGCATGATAAATTAACATTGGTAAATACGCCCAGCCCTCATTAGTTAGTGCTGATGTCAGAGCTTGGTCCTAGCAGCAGCCAGCTTTACAAATGTGGGCTTTCTGTGCATTCTGTACTGGCCCCATGTCCTCTCAGTGCTAGAGAAGCAAAGCCCTCATGACCGAACTCAGTAAGCTCCGTGAAGCAGGGAGCTTCTCTCTGGAAGGAGTAGGAATGATATCTACAAATGCTCATGGGAGTCTGAGAGGCTGGGGATTTACTCTCAAAAATGAATTTTTATGTTGTCTACTTTAGTTTCCAAACAAGGCAGAGTACAAAGGAACTAGGACAGCAGGGAACTGCCTCCCTCTCAAAACAAGGTGGAATTCAGCCTCCCAGGGCAGGTGCTGGCAGGCCAAGTGGGGTGGCTCATGCCGCTTTCTGCCTGTTCTCAGCTGTCAAGAAGCCAAGGCCCCCACTAGGACCAATTGAAAGGTCCCAGAAAAACATCAGGTAAAGTCCAGCCCTTGGGAGTAAGACCAGTTAAAGGCGTGTAAGTACCCAGGAGCCAATTAAGTACCTGGAATCGCAGGGCTGCACTCCTGCACACGTGGAGGAAAGAGTAGGAACTTAAACGAAAGTTTAAGCAGCAGTGTGAGCAGCTACCCCTGAAGAGATTCTCACAGCCTCGTCAGAAGGGGAAAGAGGATTATGGGTTTTGCGCCTCTTATTGCACAGCTTTTTGGGGAAAAATAATATTCTTAATAAGAAGGAAAAAATATTTCATCATATTTTCGGAAAAATCAAGATGTTGCATAATATGACTTCTTCACTAGAAGAAACAGCTCCAATGTTAGCTCTTCTGGTCACCAGCACAAGTATCAAAAGGATGCCTGCCGAGCCAGGTGAAAACCAGGGCTGCAGCCAGCATCCAGTGCCCCATTTACCCAGCAGAGCCCAGACACAGTGGGGTATTGGGCACAAAGCCTGGGAAGCTAGCTGGTGAGTCTCTGCCCTTTAGGGCTGGGGGAGCTGGGGGCAGTGCCTGGGACACAGAAAGACTCGGTAAGTGAGAGGGTGTTGTGTGTCCCAATGCACAGAACGGGATCCTGGGAGCAGGGACACGAACTTGCCTATCAGAACACGGGGGAGGGGCTCTCATAGCTGGCTGGGGTTCTTTTCTCTTTCTTTCTCCCTTTCTTTCTCCTTCTTTTTTCTGTCTATTTTGCAGAACCCAATTTTGCAGAGCAACAAATTTCACCAGATCATACTTGCCAAACACAGTGAGGGTCTCAGGCAGGGAAGGGGGAAGATTACTAAGGAGAGGAAAAAAAAAAAAAAACAGGGCAATTTATTGGATGACCCATCATCCTGGTTTGCCCCGATGCTCCTTGTTCCAGCACACTTGAGCTTTGGGCCCTGGAGACCCTTCTGTGCCAGGAACACTGCCCGTGGTGCCCTGAGCAAGACACCGACCCAGACCCTAGAGTGCAGAGTCCTCCTGAACCTATGCTTGCCAGTTGCAGGCAGCCCACACATCCAGCGCTGCTGTTTCTTCTCCCAGGGCCTCGCCTTGCAGCCCTCCCCCGCTGTCCTCTGCCTTTCGGGCCGCGGACCTGGCGTCAGGAGGGGGCGCCCGGGCTGGGAGCAGCGGTGCTTGCCACACTGCAGCGCCTGGACACAGACGCGCTCCAGCGTGGGCTCCATGGACTCGCAGTCCAGCTGCGTCGTGGTGACCGGTAAGACTGAATTTTCCTGCCTTCCGGTTTGCCTGATCCCGGTTATAAACAGCCCCGGAAGGGACAAAGAGCCACAACTTGACTGGGGCGCTAAGAATTCCGGATGGAAGAAAACTTCCTGCTCTGTCCGATTAAAAACCAGGCAGGGACAGAAGCTTTGCGCCCTCTGCGGCTCATGCACTGCACATAACTTGCGTGGCATGCACAAAGGTGCCCACTGGGGCTTAGGCACCAACCTTTTCTGACCTTCAGCACCTCAAGGAGGAAGCCCAGGCAGGCACCCACTGTCCCTGCAGCTAGAACCCGGTGAGCACATGTTTGGGGGCACATTTCACAGCACAGAGGGACCTGCATGCATGATCAGAGAGGACAGGACACTCACCAGGCTATCCTAGTTCCTCTAGCATGACCAATTCCCAAGTCCCCATTCCCAGAATGACAGCCTCCCCTACAGTGAGAACTCTGAAAGGTCCCCTCCCTCTCTGAGATGCCTCGGAACCGCAGCAGCTCAACTTGGAAGAAAGGACGGCTGCTCACTATCCCACCAGCATATCCAAAGTAACCCCAGCTACAAGTGCCTCACAAGTCACTGCCACAGCTGGTCCCTGGGGACTTACTTGATCTTTCTTCACAAAGCTCTTTGTTTATTTTTAGTTAGACACTAAGCTCTTTACTTATTTATTTTTGGTTAGGCACATATTAACCTTCCTTCCTTCCTCCCTCCCTCCTTCCCTTCCTTCCTTCTTGCCTTCCTTCCTTCCTTCCTTCCTTCTGTTCTTTCTTTATTCCAGTACTGGGGTTTGAGTCCAGGGCCTTTGCACTGAGCTACATCCCCAGCTTGCTTCCCCTTTTTAATTTTTATTTTGACTCAAGGTCTCACTAAGTCACTAAATTGCCCAGGCTATGCTCAAACTTGCAATCCTGCCTCAGCCTCCCAGCATACTGGGATTACAGGCACGTGCCACCACACCCAACTACATTCAAGGTTTCTTGAGCTGTATTCAGTGAAGGCAACATAGAAGCGACAAGGAGAAGATTCTTTCCTGGTGAAAGTCATCTATCTGAATAGAAAGTTGTTGATCTTAACGTTTTCAGGCTGTAATTCAGTCTTATCAACCTTCTGAAAAAAGAAAAAAGAAAATTCCCATGAAGCCCTTTTAGCCTTCTGGCTCTCCTTTGTGTTATTTTGGTGTTAGAGACTGAGTCGTTCAAAGGACACTGGAATTCCTAAGAAACTGAGCTCCTTGTCAATGTCAGGAATGAAATCCGCCCCTCGGAGCCCCCTGGCCCCTCTTGAGTCCCGCTGACCCCGGCCATTGTCTTTCCAGCCTGGACACTAGATGGCAGGATAAAGGACCTGATAATCAGCTGCAGTTTGGAAATGCCCCTGGATTTCAGGGTGTGGCCTCATTTATTGGAAAGGTTCTGAGCTGCCAGGGGCAGTCTCTCTACTTAGTTGGATGTGTTTTGTGTGCAAATCTCACCAAGACAATTGGCACAGAGAGAGCCACAGGAAAGCCAGGGCACTGACTCTTTGCTGCAAGATCAAGGTGTTCGGACCGGCACCAACGATCACAGTGAGAGGCTTGGCACGCCTGCCCCCACCAAAGGGCCGCCCTGCTTCCAGAGATTCCTTAAGTGACCCTCGCCAAGTCCTGCTTTGAGCCAGCCAGCACAGGTCCTCAGCTGTACTCCAGATAAAGCTGCATAATAGATTGCTGCTATGTCTGCAGATCACTCTGAAATGAGTGCGCCCATGTGCCACAGGCCCGTGTAACAGCGGCTGGCCTCCCTCCTAGGTAGTTTTAAGATTTTCTTTTAAAATACAGATTCAAAGGAATTTGCAAAGAAATGTATACAGGGAGGTTTCCTGTACCCTTTACCTAACTTCTCCTGGTGTTCACATCTTCAATATCAAAGCCAGGATATTGACCCTGGTGTGATTCAGTGTGCGTGTACATGTGGACACGTGTATACAGCGCTCTGCAATTCCGTCACACGGGCGGCTTCCTGTAACCACAATCACAAGCAACATGGACAACTCTACCCTCACCACAAGTTCCCTGATGCGCCTGTTTTATAGCCTCACCTCTCCCTTCCCCCAGCACTACCACCTGACACACATTAATCTGTTCTTTGTCTCTGTAATTATTGTATTTTATAAATATTAGATAATGGGAATCATGCAGTATGTGTCCTTTTGAGACTGGCTTTTCTTCACTCAGAGTAACTCTTTGGAGGTTCATCCAAGTTTTTGTATGTTATCAGGAGTTCATTCATGTAAAATATTTACTAGCTTTATTGAGATAGAGTTCACTGTTATACAATTCACTCAGGTAAAGCGTATATACTTTGGTAGCTCTTTGAATCTTCAGAAGTATGCATTCATTGTCACAATCGATTGTAACAAATTCAGTACCTCAAAAAGAGACTCTGGTCTCCTTAGCTGTCACTGCCCATGTCCCCTCCCCTCAGCACACACACAGACTTAATTCACTTTCTGTCTCTGTGGATTTGTCTGTGCTGCGTGTTTTATATAAATAAAATCATACAAAATGTGGTCACTTGTGACCAGCTTCTTTCACTTTTGTTTCTATGTGGTAACATGCATTAATAATTCATTTCCTTTTTATTACCAATAATATTCCATTGTTCAGATTATATCACATGCTGTTTTCCATTCATTGGTTAATGGACATGTAGGTAGTTTCATTTTCATCCTTTCTTCTCACTGCTGAGTCGTATTCCATGGTAAGAATGAACCACAGTTTGTTTAATTATTATCCTACTGAAGAAAATTACAGTAGGTTCCAGCCTTGGAACTACTACAAAGAAAACTTCTGTGGACATTCCTATGTAAGTTTCTGTGTGAAAACCAGTTTTCATTTCTCTGCGATAAATAGTCCAGGTGTGCAAATACCCGTTAGTCCATTTTCTATTTTAAAGCAAATACTCCTTTCCGAAGTGATAGTACCATCTTCCATCCCCACCAGCAATGTGTGTGTGTGATCCATCTCCTCCTTGTTCTCACCAGCATTTGATGTAATGAGTATTTCTACTTTAGCCTCCCTGATAGCTACCTCAGGGTGGTTTTTCAATTGCGTTTCCCCAATGGCTAATGCTGTTGAACATTTTTTCATGTGCTAATATCTTTGATGAAAAGTCTTTTTGTGTCTTTTGCCCATTTTCTAATTAGTTTTGTTTTGCTTTTTTGTTTTTTTCCGGTACTGGGAACCGAACTCACGACCTTGCGCTTGCCAGGCAGGCGCTTTGCCACTGAGCTAAATCCCCAGCCCCTTCTAATTAGTTTTAATATTGAGCCTTGACCATTCTGCAGACATTCTACATATAATGCCTTATTGAGATAGGTGGTTTCTAACTGTTTTCTCTTGTTCTGTAGCTTGTCTTTTCATCCTTTTAATACAGTTGTTTCCAGAGCAATGCTTAATATTTTTTTTTCTTTTTATTCTTTTTGGTGCTGGGGATTGAATCAAAGGCCTTGTGGGTGCTAAGCACATACTTTACCATTGAGCTATGTCCAGAAAGCTTTAATTGCACGGGTATTTTAAATTGTGATGGGGTCCAATTTGCAGTTTTCCTATTACAGATAGTACTTTTTGTTTCAAATTTAAGAACTCTTTACTTAGCCTCAGGTTTCAAGATTTACTCCCTCTTTTCCCTCTAAGCATTCTTTAGTTTTAATTCTTACATGCAAATCCATGATCCTTTTTGAATTTACTTGTGTGTAAGGTGTGGCTGGAATTGAAGGATCAGTGTTTGTGTCTCGGTGTCCAACTGCTCCTGCACCGTTTGTTGAAAAGTCTCTCCTTCCTCCATGAAATTATATTTCTGCTGTTGTTGACAAACCATTAGGCACATTCTTGTGGGTCTATCTCGGCTGTACAAAGCTTGCTGTCTCAGTTACTTTTTTCTTGTTGCTGAGACAAAATATGTGACACCTAGAATTAAGGAAAGGTTTATTTAGCTCATAATTTGTGGTGGTTTTAGTCCATACTCAGCTGGCTCCAAGGCAGAGTGGCACATGGCAGAGGGCAATAGCTCATGGTGGTGGAAAACAGCAAAAACAGCAAAAACAAAAACGGAGGAGTGGCAGAGAGCAAGCCTCTTTCTCTCCCTTATGTTGTATGCAAACTACCTGCCCCAGGGTGGGTATAGCACTCACACTCATAATCCCAGCATTGGGCCATGAATCAATCATAAACTCTAAAAGCCCCATGACTGCATAAGGCTTTGGGGGGACATCTGGACACAAACTATAACACCTGCATTTCAATCAGATATTTGTGCACACACATGTTCCCAACCCTCCTAGTGATCAGACCTGCTTTCCTCAAAGGCTCAGGAGAGGCCTCTGCGATGCCTCTAGTAAGGCATGTCTGCAGGAGTAGCTCAGAACTCTGGCCTGGGAAACTGTCAGAGATTCTTGCAGTGGTGCAACCTGGCTTGAGCAAACCTGGCTTCCTTTGGTTTCAGGTTTTGGGCCGTTCCGGCAGCACCTGGTGAATTCCAGCTGGGAAGCAGTGAAGGTAAACGCTGTTCCCTTTCCCCTCTGCTACCACACACCCAACTGGCTCCTTCTGTGACTGCTGAGCAATCCCAGCTTGCAGGACTCTTAGTAACCAGAGTCACACAGAGGGAATACAAACAAATCCGCAGGCCCCTGGAGGAACAGCTTTTCTTTAGTCCTTGGGTTGTGGCTTGCCTGCCTGCTGATGCTCCTCCTGCCTTTGTGGGAAAGAAAGGAGGCCAAAGGGACCCTCCTGGGGAGGGTACACCAAGGCCTCAATGCTGTAGCCAGAGCTGGACTCCTATTATCCACACTCTTTCTAGTGGTGGGGTCTTGGTTTCCTCATTCATGAATGGTGGGATAATAGTGCTGAAGTTGCAAGATTGATCTGAGGATTCAAAGAGATAAATATGCAAGGCAGCTTTGTTTAAACATTGTGCCTGGCACAGGGTAAGCACTTAAGGATGGGTTATTAGTCTAAACAGTACATTTATTGTTAAGGAAATTGCTGACTCAGAGGCAGTCCATGAGGAGTGCAAGGGCTCGCCTCTGCAGAGCGACCTGCCTTTCCTCCTTGCAGTGATTGTCTGTGATCCGTCCCCACGTGGGTGTCACTTAGAGGCTCCGGATACTGACAGCTGTTTATTCATACTTGACCTTCAATTTCATGCCGCTGGTGCATCAAGTTAAAGGTGGGGTCTCTACTCTATTCTCAGTTTCCCGGTCAAGCCGAAAATGCAACAAAACCACTGGCGTCATGCCCTTGTAGCAACTGTGGCATTGATTTTCTAGCCTGTCAGCACAGATGCAGTCAGGAGACTCTTGATTCTAGAGTTGGATTTTAAGCCTTTTTTCAACCAAAAGAAAAAACTCAAAGAAACCCAGGAACCACTGTTAAGCACCCCCTGTACCCAACATACCAGAAAAGCCAGCTTAGGGCCTTTATGAGCCCCTGGATGTCTACAGCCAGTTCCTCGGTAGAAAGGATGTCTTCTGCCAGGATCTCTCAAATGGTCCTGAACCCTCCATTTCTTTGCAGTCATGATAATGGAAAAGAGGCAGGCTGCTTGGGCTCACCTCCTCTGTCTAGTCACCCTTGTTTGCCACATTTGTCAGATGCGAAGGTTAAGGTGACTCGGGGTCTGTGCACCGCTGACCAAATCAAAAGAAGCCATACATTTCGGTAAAAAGGAGAAAGGATTCATTCAAAGCTAGCTCTAAGAAGATAGAGGGATCCACTTGTCACAACCACCGTCTCCTTGGGTACAGGTGGGTTAGAGTCTTTTATAGTGAGGAGCAGAGGGGAGGGGGAGCAAGGGAGGTGACGCAGATCCATTGCTCTTTGTGGGAAGGAGCCTGGCTCCGATGTACTGAGGCTCAGATCTGCAGGTCCTGTTACTTTTTTGAGACTGAGGGAAGGAGGTTGGTTTGGAGAAATTGTTCATCTCTTCAAGGAAAAATCTAACTTCTAAAATTCTATTTCACAGTGCCAGTTACAAGATGACTTGAACGGAGGTTTAGAATTAAGATAAGTGAAAGATACCAGTCACAAAAGACCATGTATTGTATGATTCCACTTATATGTGTCCACATTAAACAAATCAGTTAAGAAGTAAAGCAGATTCATGGTTGCCTAGGACAACTAGGGAGCAAGAGATACAGTGATGATGATTACAGAACTCTGAATACATTAAAAATCATTGAACTGTGGACTTTAAATGGTAAAGGATATGGTATGTGAATTATATCTTAATAGAAAAAGAGAGAAACATTTATCCAAATGCATGTCGCTGTTTAGAGACCAATGAAGAGAAAATTAGAGAACTAGAAGATACATCTAAGATATTATTCAAAGGGCAACATAAAGAGATGAACAAAGATGTAAGGAGATTAAGAGATATTGTTAATATGTGAAGATTTGAAGTTCCAGAAGGAGAGAACAGTGAGAATGGAAGAAAAACAGTATTCAAAGAGTAAAGATTGACAATGTTCTAGAATTTATGAAAGACAAGAATATACAGAGATAAGCTAAGACAAATAAAATCCACACCTAAACACATCACAGCAAAACTGCCAAACATCAGAGAGAAGTAGATTTCTAAGAAACCAGAGAGAAGAGAGAAATCATCTACAAGAATGGTCAGTCTGTTGAGACTAAGGGTAAATATCTTAAAACCAACAATAAAATCCAGAAAAACCATAGACTAGTATTTTCAGTGTTGCAAATATAATTGCCAACCAGAAGTTGTATACCCAACAAAACTTAAAATTTTTTTTATTAAGAAATGGGAAATGAATGTTGAAAAAAAGGAAAATGCAGAAAAATAATATAAGTGCTAAAAGCTCACAATGAAAACAGCTGTTTACTACAAACTCCAGAAGACTGACTTGATTCTCTTTACCAACAGTAAGTGCCAAAGTATTTAACATTGGGCTGCCCATAGTGGACACCCTTCCCTCTTCAAGCCTGATTTGTGCATAGTGACACAGGCCATAGGTCATTATTATTCAGTGTGACCCCTACCTTCTAAATACTCAAATATTGGAATCAGTACCGTCTCATTCATTCAAAAGGAATGACATCCTCCACTTTAACTGTACTGAAGGTTAAACCAAATTGGGTACTTTTGAAGTCACTGTACTTCTCTATGTATAGTAGTCCCTGCTTACCTGCTGGAAGTATGTTTCAAGACCTCCCATAGGTGTATAAAATTGTGGGAAGTACTGCACCCTATAATATATATATATTATATATAATGTATATATAATATACTATATATTATATATTGTATATTATATATTATATATTTATTATATATATTCATGTATCAACATACCTATCATAATCTTGAATTTAGCTGGCATGGTGTGCATATACCTGTATTCCCAGCACTTTGGTAGCCTGAGGCAGGAGAACCACAAGTTTAAATGCAGCCTAGAAAACTTAGCAACCCAGTGAGATCCTGTCTCAGAATAAAAAATTTTTAAAAAATATGACTGAGGATATAGCTCAGTGTTAAGGTCCTGGGTTCACGTCTCAGTACCACAAAAAAGTTTAATTTATAAATTAAACACAGTAAGAGAACAATAACTCATAATAAAATAGAACAATTATGTAATGACATAACATAATAAAAGTTATTTAAGACATAAACTGCTTAGCTCTGGAATTTTCCATTAGTATTTTCAGGCCATGGTTGACCTTGGCTAACTGGAAGGGCAGATGGGAGTGAGGGACTACTGCCTGAGTGTGTGCATGTCCTCTGTCCTTGTTCCCAGCACTCCACATATTTCACTGATTTGAAGAACTACTTAAAAAAATCTTCTGGCGTCTTGACACTAGATGAACGTCACAGTCACCTGCGCCTTATACTCTGTTGTTGATGACGAGTGCTTTGCTTTCTTGCTGGTCCATAGGAATAGTGCTTGGCATTCAGTGTCTGGGGATTAGATCTGGGGAATGCAGTGCATCCTTTCTGGGTTGCAAACTCCAGTGGCGTGGGTAATGCTCCAACCTGCTCACCTGCTTCATCAGGCCAGAATCTGGGCTCAATTTTGGCTGCATTAAATGTGATGAAAACTCAGCCTCTTACTTACGCAGTGGAGCACAAGAGGAAAGCATGCACACAAGAATGACCCAGGGAATAAATTCAGGGGAAAAGTATGCACACAGGAATGACCCAGGAAATAAATCACACAGGAGATGCAGGGCCGTGGGGTTTGAATCTACATGCAAAGGACAGCTCTTAGCTCCTCTTCATTCCGACTGAGGAAACAGATAAGAACAGAAGACCATAGTGGATGCGCCTTTTCTCATCTTTACCCTCACATGCACATTAGAAGCAGGTTACAAATCTTGAAAAATATCAGCATCACACTAGGGGGCCGTGCCTGAAATCCCAAATCCACAGAGGCCCTCCTGGTCTGGCAGCTTTGAGCCAGTTTGAGAGGCCTTTCCTTAGGTCCCCAGTCGTTATGCCTAATGTCTCCGGGCACACGTGACACCCTGGACACCCTGTGAGGTGACAGTTCTCTGCGGAGCTCTGGCTTGTCCCAGCTTTGGATTCTAGCCCAGGCCCACATGCTGCGCCTTCTCTCCGGACAGGAAGATGTGCATGATGCTGGGTTTCCGTCTCCTGTGGGCATTGGCCAAGGTATCTAGGCAGGGACTCAGGAACCCAAAGGAGCTGTGCAAGTGACATTTCAGGCACTGGGAGCATAGAAATGGGGAAATAGTTCGGAAACCACGCTGTGCATTTGGGCAGCAGCGCTCTTTCCGCACCATTCCAGGACCCCCACCCCTTGCCCACCCATGAGACTCTTGTCTTTTGCATTCTTGGTCGAACTCTAGAACGCTTTCAGATACCAGTTTAACCCTTAGCCCCATCTGAATGGTGGATGACAGCCTGTGCTCTAACTTCCTGTAAGCATAGTCCTTCTTCAGACAGCATTTTTTAGTCAGGTTGAGAAAATGTGTATGTCAGCAGGGAGATGAAGTTGAAGTCCATAATGTTTTTCACTGTAGTAAGTATTCACGCCATTATTTTTACCATCCTGTTTTCAAATGTACAATTCACTGACATTAAGTATATTCACATTGTTGTACAATCATCATCCTAGTCAGTTCTAGAACTTTCCATTTTTCCAAAAGGAAGTTCCATACTCATTAAATGATAGTCCCCTAGCACCCCCTTCCCCAGCCCTTGTGATTACTCTTATACTGTATTTACATAGCTCTGCAACAGGGCTTTAGAATTTCTTCATCTTACAGAACGGAAACTCTGTCCATTGACCAACAGCTCTCCACTTTCCTCCTCCTCCCTTCTGGCGGCCACCATTCTATTTTCTATTTCTCTGACTCTGACCACATTAGATACCTCGTGTAAGTGGAATCATATAGAACTTTGCTTTTTTGTGACTGGTTTATTTTCACTTAGCATAATGTCCTAAGCGATCATCTGTATTTTAACATATGACATGTGATCTTTTTAAAAGCTGAATAATATTCTATTGTATGTA